AGCGAAATTGCTATTGACGACTTTATTACATAAATTATAGCGCGGAATAGACTACGTGACTCTGAAGTGATTTTTTATATTGACTTTTTATATTATCTTCTTTCTATATACATTTCTTCTGTCCGTGTGTAAGTATGCAAACTCCTTCAAAACGGCTGGACAGATATCGAATCTTCAGTTCTTTCTGAAATGGTAGGTTACAAAAATTGTAAAATATTATGTTAGTTTAACTTGTATATGTGTTGTTGCAATTAAGCACGCAGCAATTTATTACTTTCTAACTTTGCTAGTTTACTCTGTGCTTGGTTTGGACTATACTGGCTTGAGTATACTAACTACTGATTTGCATCGAAGCGTTTTTTCGAAGGTGATTCTATCACTTTCAGATTTAAAAATTCCCGTAAGCCTGTGACCTACTCGTCCCCACTATGCCCCGACCCCACTGTCTTGGTTTTTTTTTAAATGGATCGATTTGCTTGATACCAAAGAGTTTTGCTATCGATCTGAAATCCTAAGCTATTGCTAATACTAATAATATGCTGTATAATTATTGATACTATCCAAAGAGATAATGTCGGTCCAGACGCAAAAATAGAAAAATAAAAATTCGCATTATCTTCTATGCTCCGGATAAAAACTAAAATTCACTTAAACATAAAAAGTTCATGTTAAACCTCATAGTATACTGTCGATATTTTTGTATAAACAAGTGTTTTTTTACAATACGTATAACATAGTCGTCTACTAATACAAGTATCTCTAAATTTTAGTAGGTAACGATACGTTTTTTTTTTTTTACATACAGTAGTACTTTTGTACAGCATGAAAAGGAAACACCTATATTGCCGTACACCGTATAAAACTTTACATTAAAATAAATAGATTTTAAATTTAAACATATAGTATTTGCCCAATTAAAATGCCCGGCAAAGTGTAGATCTGGTATCTGTATTTTTTTATAATATACTGTAACAGTATACAAATGTTCACATCTTACGCAGTCAACAAAAATCTGTCTGACGTACTAAACGCACTTTTAGGATATCATCAATGGGCACAGATTATCGACGTGGAAGTTAAATCACATCCAGGTATTACAAACGGACGTGTTTCGTTTTCAGGGAAAGATTTATTTATTTATAGAGGTTTGTACTCCCGCAACAAGAACATTGGAAGTGCCCAAGTCAGTGTCGAAAACGTGTACAAAAAATACTACATGGTCACTAATTTGTTAGGATGTGTACACGCCAAACGCTACCTTAACATTTAAAACGTTGATCAAAAACATTTTATCTGTAATATAGGTTTCGTGTACACATCGCGAATACACATCCTAACAAATTAGTGACCATGTAGTATTTTTTGTACACGTTTTCGATACTGACTTGAGAATTTCCAATGTTTTTAGTGCGGGAGTACAAACCTCTGTAAATAAATAAATCTTTCCCTAAAAACGAAACACGTTCGTTTGTAATACCTGGATGTGATTTAACTTCCACATCGATAATCTGTGCCCATTGTTGATATCCTAAAAGTGCGTTTAGTACGTCAGACAGATTTTTTTTGACCGTGTAAGATGCGAACATTTGTATACTGTTATAGTATATTATAAAAAAAAATACAGAAACTAGCTCAAACACATTGCCGAGCATTTTAGTTGGGCAAATACTATATATTTATATTTAAGTCTATTTATTTTAAAGTAAAGTTTTATACAGCGAATGGCAATATAGGGTTTCCACTTTTATGCTGTACAAAAATACTATTGTATGTAAAAAAAAATATGTATCGTTACCTACTAAAATTAAAAGATATTTGTATTAGTAAACGACTATGTTATACGGATTGTAAAAAACATTTGTTTATACAAAGATAACAACAATAAATACATAATGTGATAAGATGCATCAAGTCATAGATTGATATTTTTCTTTTTAAAGAGAGAAAAACGATGATGAAGGTAATATAAAGCCTGGATTACATGTTATAGTTAATATTAGTTAATGCAGAATTTTTACTACATAGCTATCCACGCTGTCGTTTTACTATATTACCTAATATATTACCTTATATACCTAACCTAACCGTTAAATTGATTTTAAATAAATAATCTTTGTGTCCAAAAAATAATATGTTGCCTTAATTATTCTCCTTGAGGTAATGAAATGTAACAACTGAGGTAATTATAACTGTCTAACTTGCGATTTAGATATTTTGTTCGTATTTATCTCTATATTTGTTGATACAATATTTATCACACAGTACATGTATGACAGGGTTATAATATAAACATCACATAACCTAACATTTCTATGGTATATCAAATTTTAAAGGTGTTATTATCATGTTATAATCTCTTAACTCAACATTTTAATATATATCATGGAAAAGTAACGTAGCGTTTTTACTTCCATGAAATTGGTACGATACAAATTATAACAACGATTTTCTATCAACCTATTCTAATAATGGTATTTTTTTAATTTAAATGACGTATTCATGTTTCATCACGTAAAAAAAACTTCTGTTGAATTTATGCTAAATGTTGAATTAGCATAGATAGTATAGCGAAATTCGGGTAAAGAAAAAGCTTAAATCTAATGAGATAATTCCTAAATTAATAAGTAAATAATTCTAGTGTATTTCTGTTATTTATTGTATTGATTTTATTTAGAACTACCATTGATAAATATTACAATTATTTAATTAATATTCATAATAATTACCTGGTGTATCTTCAAAATAGTTTAAAACATATATAATTGATAGAATAAAACATTTTAATTTGATTATTTACTTTATTGAAATTTGCAGTTATCTAAAAATTAATTTTATAATTGTGTTAGTATGGTAAGATTAGACTATGAGCAGTCAAACCTTATGAATCGTTGTAATAATTGTATAACCTCTCCATATCATTTTCCAGTTTCGCATAACCTAGAAATGGCTTTCTCTAACGATATTATTGTTGTAATGTTTTAATAGTTACCAATGTGTGTTCATAAGAAATGTTTAGACTATAATATGTAATCTAACCTAACCAAATCTACCGTATCTTCAAAAAAGTTTATAGGAATAACAATTAGTAGACTAAACGTTTAAAGCTTCCAAAATGTATTTATTTTATTGGAAATTAGCTATGACATGACATACGGATTGGTTTATTTATATAATAGTTATGATATTGGAATTTTGATAATTATTACAAATTTTTAGTATTAAGGAAAATTATGAGCAGTCAGAATCTAAAAAATCGAGATGAACACTTATGAACTTCTCCATATTATTTTCCAGTTGTATTTCATCAATAGTTTCAATGAGTGACTGAATCAAGCTGAAGTCGACATTTTCGAACGCCTGACCGAGATAAAGCAAGAATACTCTGGTGTTTTCCAAACTGTTGTACTCAATCGGTACACGGCTAGTTGCATTATTTTTTAAAGCCATTGTAATATATTTATTCGAAGATTCATAAGGTATTTGAAATTCTTTATTGTCTATTTTGAATGGTTCGATGGCCTTACACCCGAGAGGAAGACAAAGCGAATGCAGTATTTCTACTACATATCTTTCCACACTGCCGATTTTCTCTGTTCCCTTAATGAGATTATTGAAGGCAGTAAGCAAGCCTCCTATGTGTAGTTCATTGGTCAAATTTAACATATTACCGAATTGTTTGACTAGGATGTACCATTCTTGCGCATAATGCACGTGGTTGTCCGCGCTGATGTCGTCTTTTAAATATGTTATGTGTCTTAACGCCAGCCTGAAAATGATGATTTTTAGAAATGTATATGTCAGCGTGTAGTATGATTTTATTTTTTGAAGGTGGTCGTTAGACCAATCCAGTGTACGCGTATCATTATACGATTTTTCCAAACGGTCGGTAATGTCGGACCAATTTACTTGCACGTTGAATACGTTCATTAAATCTTTTTTAATCATTTTATTGTTACCCATGTTGTTCATAAAAAGTCTTCTCATATTTATCTTTTCTATTACCTCTCTGACAAACGAATTTGTATATATCTGGTTTATACTCAGTAGTCCTCTGGCCATATTATCGTTTTTGTTTACCATATCTCTCAACTCATCTTGTGATGGATTAGGGTTTTCCTTAATCATAGCTTTGAAATTATCAAAAGAATTTCCTAAGCGGCATCCGGTTAGGTCTTTACGCAGTTTCTTGATGACATATTCGTGTGTGTCCAAAAGTTTTAAATAGTCTGCCGGCATATCCTTTGAATACTCAGGCAAACCAGGTATTATATTAAGGTACAAATTTAGTAGCCACAAGGATCCCATCTTTACTTTTAAAGTGTACAGCGAGGCTATCTGGTATTTTATCGTATTTTTGTAATAACTTACATTGCTAGCCGTCAGTTTTGTTGACATATTATATGCAGGGCCAATTAAAATCTGGGTTATTAACATGTGTGTCAATCCACTAAACAGAAATGCACATTTTAAATCATTATTGAGATTATCATTTTCGATAAATTCATTGCTGGGATATTTGTAACCGGTTTCCAATAATTGTACTGAATGGCAAAAGAACAGCACCAAACAAAAAACAATTTTCTTAATCATTGCAGAGTGAACCATAGTTCTGAGTAGTAGTCTGTTATTCGGTCAAAAAATAATACGTTTGCTTGATGCTTTTTGAGGTAACGAATTATTTCAACTGGAGAAATATGAGTTAACGATTTGTAATTTGGGTAATAATATGTTGTACAATACAAATTTGACTTTAGAATAGTCTGTCTTGGTGAAAAAGTGTCACGTATACAAACTTGTTACCTTCGTATATCGTCGTGGTTTATTATTATTATTTAAATAACGGGATTATGTCTCATCACTTTATAGATACAATTGCTTGATTTGTATTTGTACAGACCACATTTTTATTTTGACTATTCGAAGAAGTGTTTTTTTAAGCATATCATTATTTAGAATTTATTTTATAAGACATTTAGTTTTATGTAGTAGTTTTTTTTTTTTTTTGAGAACTTTAAACTATTATTTATACGTACCTAGTCTATTGTATATTTTTATTTCTTAACTACATTAAGTATTTGCTCCTAACATTTGCAATAGCTTAGGAATTTAGATCGATAGAAATAATCTTTGATATTAAGCAATTCTTATATACTAAACTTAGGTGTACTATACACCGACCTATAGTTGTAAGCTCTTCAGTGTTGCTTTCCGTACCATTAAATTTTGTGTATTCTAAAATTGTGTAACCAAATATATTTAAGACTTAAATAATGCACTCAAAAGTTCTAATAATAGTCGTTCTATGTTTAGCGGTGTTTTACTGTCAATCAGTGGTTTCCTTAAAAACTGGCTACAAGTATAAATCAAACGACATATTAAATAAAGATGAACTCCATGATGATTTAAAATGCATGCATTTGTTTAGCGGACTATTCCATATGCAGCTGACCGGATACATATTTTACCAGAGAATTATTATGGCTGGTGACGTCATAGATATGATCAAAGGGTACAACACTAGGGCAGGAGTTTATACGTTGTACGTATTAGATAAATCCAAAATCGGTGCGTTATGGTTGCTACACTTATACACGAGAATGGTGATAGGAAGCTGCGATTTTTCGTGTACAGACGTGAATAAAGAAAGAGAGAAAGCAAGAATTATTGCGAAGATGAGTGCCACCCACGGTTACGTCACTGACCTATTAAAAAAAGAAACCGAAACCGAAAGTTGTCGCCCAGGAAATTTGTTTGATCGCTATGACGAATGGATGGACTCCCATAACTGGTCACCCAATATAGGTCAAATAAAACAGGCGCTTGATGAAAACTGTGATGAGTTCCATTCTATGGTAAAGGCGAACATGAATGAATTGCCTCCCGGTTTGAATTACGAGTCGTTTAGATTCAGAGAGTTATTCATGAACAGCTTTGGCGGTAACTGTTCAGCCAGATTGGATCTGATGCACGTGTATAACGTGCAAGTAAACTGGGCGGACACTAATGTTCATCTGCAAAATGTTTGGACAAATGCTAAAGCATTGGATTGGAAATCAACCAAATTACAAACTATCAAAAAATACTATAAAACGCAGTACAATTTCTTGAAAGTCATCTTTTTAAGACTAACTTTGAAACACTTACTGTACATAGAACAATTGTCCGGTCATACTCAAGTGTCTTACTTGGAACAATGGCACCATTTGGTTCTCGAATTCGGAAATATGTTGCACATTAGGGATGACCCTCACATCGCTGACTTGCTTATCGCTTTAGCTGGCCTAACGAATCCGCAGGAATGCATCAATAATGTAAAACTTTATCTGGAGGCAGTTCTGGATTTGATTTGTAAGACACTCAAGTGCAACGCGACTAGTTCAATGAATTTAGACGGTCAAGAATTTAAGTTACCATGTAGAAGTATTGACCAAGATATAGCAAATTATGTACAATCCGTAAGTAGACAGGAACCGGTTGAACTCAACAGTCTAGCCAACGTGAAAGCTTTTATGTTACATCTCACCAAGATTTTCATAAATGTCGACTTTGGTGTGATTCATTCGCTCATTGAGTACATCAAAAATAATTTCAAATGAATTTAGTTGGTTAAACTATAAATTCATCAATTGTTATTTAGTAGGTGTGTTATTTAATAATATAGCTTACAACATTTGTTTTTAATTATGTGACAATTGTAATGAAATAAAATGAAAATACACCTGTTGAAGTTGTTGTGATTGTATGAAATCTTATTAATAAATAATTAAGCTTCTATTACATAATATTATTTTATAAATTAAACCGTTTACTTCTAATGTTTATGATTTGGATTTTTTACTCATTTTTATGCCTCTATGACGCATTTGTCGAGAGACAAAACCATTAACTAATTTTTTCTATACATTGGTTTTATCTTTTTATTTTTTTAAGAAAAAAATATAATTAATACATTACTTTTACCAATATATTTTATATGTTCATTAATTAATATCATTATACGTTGTACAAGTATACATGTTAAATCATATGTCAAAAACCCATATTGTTTTTTGTACACTTTTGAATTTCATATGTTATGTGATCGAAGTATAAGAGTTCAAATTAATTATAAAGAATAATAATCACTGGTGCTCATTCCGTTGCCTGTTATATAATTTATAGTGCAAAGAGATAAGTTAAAAGACATTGTAAGCAATCCTTGATATTTTATTCTTTTATACAAACATTTTAAGGCTGTAGGTTTATGAGATAAACTAAAATTCGATCGATCAAAATGGCATAAACCAAGTATTACTCAGGTATAGTCTCAATGGTGTTTGCCATTAATGCGCATTTTGAATATTTACATGTACAGTCATATCATGTAAATTGTTTGAATTCATATATTTAGTATTAAATTGTACTTCAATGTGTTATTAAGAGAAAATTATAAAATTCATTTTTTTCATACTTATTTAAGCACCTATAATTTTTTCTTATTATGATTATTTTATGTAGGTTTTGTTTTATTCTTTAAACCAATAATACAAAAACAAACATCCCGGAAACAATAACCGCTTTGCAAATGTGTAATATACAACAACCTCTATAATTGTAAGCTGTTCAGTGTTGCTTTCCTAACCATTAAACTTTGTATAATCTAAAATTGTTTAACCGAATACATTTAAGACTTAGAGGCATAAGAATGCATTTAAAAGTGCTAATAACAATCGTTTTATGTTTAGCTGTGTTTTATTATAGATCAGTAGTGTCCTTTCAAACTGGCTACAAGTATAAATCAAACGACATATTAAATAAAGATGAACTCCATGATGATTTAAAATGCATGCATTTGTTTAGCGGGCTATTCCATATGCAGCTGACCGGATACATATTTTACCAGAGAATTATTATGGCTGGTGACGTCATAGATTTGATCAAAGAGTACAACACTAGGGCAGGAGTTTATACGTTGTACGTATTAGATAAATCCAAAATCGGTGCGTTGTGGTTGTTACACTTATACACGAGAATGGTGATAGGAAGCTGCGATTTTTCGTGTACAGACGTGAATAAAGAAAGAGAGAGAGCAAGAATTATTGCGAAGATGAGTGCCACCCACGGTTACGTCACTGACCTATTACAAAAGGAAACCGAAACCGAAGGTTGTCGCCCAGGAAATTTGTTTGATCGCTATGAAGAATGGATGGACTCACATGACTGGTCACCCAATATACGTCAAATAAAACAGGCGATTGATGAAAATTGTGATGAGTTCTTTTCTATGGCAAAGGCAAACATGAACGAATTGCCTCCCGGTTTGAATTACGAATCGTTTAGATTAAGAGAATTATTCATGAACAGCTTTGGCGGTAACCTTACAGCCAGGTTGGATCTGATGCACGTGTATAACGTGCAAGTAAACTGGGTGGACACTTATGTTAATTTGCAAAATATTTGGACAAATGCTAAAGCATTGGATTGGAAATCAACCAAATTACAAACTATCAAAAAATACTATAAAACGCAGTACAATTTCTTGAAAGTCATTTTTTTAAGACTAACTTTGAAACACTTACTGTACATAGAACCATTGTCCGGTCATACTCAAGTGTCTTACTTGGAACAATGGCACCATTTGGTTCTCGAATTCGGAAATATGTTGCACATTAGGGATGACCCGCACATCGCTGACTTGCTTTTCGCTTTAGAAGATATCACGAATCAACAGGAATGCATTAATAATGTAAAAGATTATCTGGAGGCAGTTCTGGATTTGATTTGCAAGACACTCAAGTGCAAAGCGACTATTTCAATGATATTAGACGGCCAAGAATTTAAGTTACCATATAAAAGTATTAACCAAGATATAGCAAATTATGTACAATCCGTAAGTAAACAAGAATCAGTTGAACTTAACAGTATTGCCAACGTAAAAGCTTTTATGTTACATCTTACCCAGATTTTCCTAAATGTCGACTTTGATGTGATTCATTCACTCAATGAGTACATAAATAAGAATTTCAAATGAAATTTGTTGTGTAAACTAAAAATTCATCAAATGTTTTAATAATATAACTTACAACAATTTTTTTTAATTGTGTGGCAATTGTATTGAAGAAAAATAAAAATACACCTGTTGAAGTTGTTGGGGTTATGAAATATTATTTCATAAATTTAATCGTTTACTTGTTATGGTTATGATTCAGATTTCTTACTCATTTTTATGTCTATGTGTCGAATTTTTCGAGAGACAAAACCATTAGCTAATATATTTTTTACACTGGTTCTATCTTTTTTTTTTTTTTAAGAAAAAAATATACTTATTACATTATTTTTACCAATATATTGTATATGTATTAATTTTTTATCAATATACGTTGTACAATTATACATGTTAAATCATATGACAAAACCCATATTGTTTTCTGTACACTTTTGTATTCCATATGTTATGTGATCAAAGTATAAGAGTTCAAATTTATTATAAAGAATAATAATCACTGGTGTTCATTACGTTGCCTGTTGTATAATGTATAGTGCAAAGAGATAAGTTAAAAGACATTGTAAGCAATACCTAATATTATATTCTTTATACAAACACTTAAGTGTGGATTATGAGCTAAATTAAGATTCGATCGATCTAAATGCAAAATGGCATAAATCAAATATAATGAGACACAGTTTAATGTGTCATTAATGCGCATTAAGGAATCGAAATTTTGAATATTTATATTATTGTATATGAAAATCGATCGATTTTCAGCTATGTATTATTAAAATTTCATAGACATTGTGAAATAGGTATATCAATGTAATAAAATTAACTTAAATCGTTGAGGCAAAATAAATTGAAATACGAAAAACCATAACACTCGTTCTAAAAATGTGTTTTGTGCAAATATAAATCGTGCAAACAATTTTTAGTCTCGAACCAGCGTCACGCGCACGCATTTGCCGATAAAACAGAAGTTTATATTAATAAATGCGTGTGTTTTAGCAAAGGTTTTAACAACATATTTTCAAATCGTGATTGTACATACATATATATTTATAAAATATACGTATATATTTATAAAATATGTATTGATATAATAAAATATTGATGTCCATTAAAATTGCGAAATTTCCATATATACACTTTATGAAGTAAAATAATAGACCTAATAACAGAGAAATAATTTACAGTTCATCCTGTACTTAGAGTTATCTTAAGATTCTTGTTATCATAGAGTTGTCTGGTTTTGTTTTATTTACATTTTAAAATCACCGTGTATGGTTATTGCTCTGGCATACCTTGTTATTCTAAAAGAACTTATTTGCGTCTAATAGTGTAATTTTGTCACTTAACTAAATGGGTAATCTGAGCGCACGGCAGTGCACCAGGCCAAGTTCCAGCAATGTCAGTGTATCTTTACACGAACCAATTCATCCAGTTTTTCTAACCTATATAAGTCCAACGCGTACAATAAGAAGGTTTCTTATCCGTTTAAATACTAGGACAATATTTGCCCAAATCAGTGATAATTGCTATATAAACCATCCGTTACATCTATCATTGCATTCATCTAACATTGTCCGAATCAAAATTAGTGACTCATGGACTGATGCAACTGTAAGAATACGAAAAGACTATAACTGACTAGAAGCTTATTTGGTTTCAAAATATGACCAGGCAAACAACGTAGTACCATCAGTAAATTTCAAGTACGATTTTCGATTAATAAATCAGCTATAGACCAATGTTAGTATAGAATTATAACTATTAGTCTATGAGACACCAGATACATTTTCTCCATATTATTTCCAGTCTGATTTCATCGATGTATTCTATGAGTAACCAAATAAGACTCATGTATTTATTCGGCAAAGCGTATGCAGTATTGAAACTACATAACCTGCACTATCAATTTTCTCTATTCCATTAATGAGATTACTGTTGACAGTATATTCTAAAATCAATGGTTTTACTATATAATAATAATATAAAAAAAGTACCGCGGTGCCCTCCGGAATATTGTTTAATTTTAATTTTTATAATGGGTGCTTTTACTCTAAAACCAAAATTAGGCGAGTTATTTTCAGTCTGCTTAAACATGTAGAGATGAAAAAACATTTTTAAATCGCTTTCAAAAATGCTGTAATAGTCCGAAAAATAAATTAACTACCCAAATAGAGTCCTAAGTAATGAACTAATAATTATACGTCACAGTTTAACCTTTAATTAAGATTTTGTAATAAATTGCCTATACTTTACACCTTAGAAATGGGCGGTACGACGCCTTCTTAATGCTTACAAAATGTATTTATTTTATTGGAAATTAGCTATGACATGACATGGGTTTATATAATAATTATGATATTGGAATTTTTATAATTATTACAAATTTTTAGTATTAAGGAAAATTATGAGCAGTCAGAATCTAAAAAATCGAGATGAACATTTATGAACTTCTCCATATTATTTTCCAGTTGTATTTCATCGATATATTCCATGAGTGACTGAACCAAGCTGAAGTCGACATTTCCGAACACCCGACCGAGATAAAGAAAGAATACTCTGGTGTTTTCCAAACTGTTGTACTCAATCGGTACACGGCTAGTTGCATTATTTTTCAAATCTGCAGTAATATATTTATTCGGAGATTCATAAGGTATTTGAAATTCTTTATTGTCTATTTTGAATGGTTCGATGGCCTTACACCCGTGAGGTTGGCAAAGCGAATGCAGTATTTCTCTTACATATCTTTCCACACTGCCGATTTTCTCTGTTCCCTTAATGAGATTATTGAAGGCAGTAAGCAAGCCTCCTATGTGTAGTTCATTGGTCAAGCTTAACATGATAC